ATTACAGGTACGTGCCACCATACCCAATCTCAGTTGCCATCTCAGCGTGCCCCGGGGACAGGACCAGCACGGCAGCCTGGGGATTGAACCCTGGTCCCTGCATGTCCTAAGTAGGTGCTTTAGTCCACCGAGCTATCTGGCTGGCCCTTCTTTTTGTTTTTCTATCTAGATACCCAGTATAAGTGATTTATTACCTTAATTTTATCTCTTCTGTTTAGTTCAGTTAAATTATATAATCCACACATTACCCGGGGGGGGGGGGTTAAATAATTATAATTATGTTTTATACAAATAACAAAGAATTGTTTTGTTGTAAACCATAAATTATGTACAATAAATTAAATTGCAAAAGTACATATGTCCTGTGATTTTTTTTTTTAAATAGAGGAAGATTTTCTTCTTTGATTTTGGAGGCAACATCTTTAAAAGGTAACTGTGTTTTAAAATAGATATGAACAAAACACCCACTTGTGGGCCAGCCAAATAGCTCAGTGGCAGGCGCAGGGGCCAGGGGTTCAATCCCTGGGGGTGCTGTGCCGGCCCTGCCCCAGTGGCATGCTGAGACAACAACTGAGACTGGGTGTGGTGGTGCGCACCTGTAATCCCAGCTCTTGTGAGGCTGTAAACAGGCGGATCACTATGAGTCTGATCTAGTAGTGAGACCCTGAACACCCTATACACCCTTCCCTAAAATACAAAAAACAAAACAAAACCAAAACCAAAAACCTCACTTGTAAATTTAAGTCTGGTCTTCTTTCTGAATATCTAAAAATTATTTTGCCATCTGTGGTTACAATCATTACATCAAGAATGTGTAGTCCACAATTATAATTTTTCATATTTGGTCTTTTTTTTTGTGTGTGTGGTAACCAGGGATTGAACTCAGGACTCTACGCTTGCCAGGCAGGCACTTATTCTACTGAGCTATCTCCCCAGCAATTTTTCATATTTGGAACAACTCTATTCTTAATAGTCACCTATCAAAAAGATTTGGGTCATGTTTCCCTGAACATGACCGTCAAGACCTAACCAGAAAATAAAGGCTAAAGTGATCTTTCAGGATGTTTGTAATATAAGTCCTAACCCTAAGATAAACCTGAGTTCAGATCATAGCCAGATAGTTTAACTTAGTACATCTACAACACAGGATGGACCTACTAAACTATGAAATAACAATATTAATATATAATTAAATGTTAATAAATACTGACATTAATACTTAAAATAAATGGCAACAAAGTATAATTATTTGTAAATATCCAAGTAGGTATCTTTGGTCTAGAAATAAACATCTATGTAAACAGATGAACTCAGAGATTTACTGCTCAGTGACCGGCCAGAGTCCAGAGACAAGGCACAAATACTGAGCCCCTGATAATGAATGGAAGCGGTGGTGTCTAATATGAATCTTCATAATTCAGTGTTGCTGTGGGTTGTAACAGTCCTACTTAATGAGCTCGTAGGAAATAAAGAAACCTTTTCTGAATTTTTGGAGCCTGCAATTTCTCACTGCTTAAGTGCAGACCACTGGTTTTTTTTTTTTTTGTTTGTTTGTTTGTTTTTGTATTTTTTAGGAAAGGGTCTACTAGATCAGACTTGTAGTGATCCACCTGTTTACAGCCTCTCAAGAGTTGAGATTACAAGCATGTGCCACCATGCCCAGTCTCAACATGCCCCGGGGGTGGGGCCTGTACAACAGGCCCAGGGATCGAACCCCAGCCCCTGTGCCTGCTGGCAGGTGCTTTAATCTGCTGAGCTATTTGGCAGACCACCATTCTTAACTGATATTTTTGTGGTCTCCCAAGTCTTCCAAGAATGCTTGCTTTAATGGGAACTCAGGAGCCCAGCCTGCAAGAGGTAGTTGCCTAGGTGTGGAATTTATGGGGTGAAATCACCCAAGGCTGCTGGCAACACGCTCTGAGCAGCTGTGCAGACAAGAAGTGCTCATCTAAGGAGAGGCTACTGCTGACTCCAGTGATGGGGCCAGTGGTGCGACAGGAAGTGGAGTCGCAGGAAATGCAGGCCGGAACTCGGGGTTTGAGGAGTTATAAGGCTATTCTAGAAAGATGACATGATTATGCTGAATAAATACTGATTTCTGTATATGAATAAATTCAGATTGTTGTACATGAAAAAAGTAAGGTATTTCCTGAAAACAAGCCTTATATTCTTTGGAGCAAGAACTAAGGTAAGACCTGAACATTTTCAGTTTATTGATGAGAATTTCCTGGTTCATTTATCTGAAGCTATTTTTATCTCTTAGTTCTGCATTGGATTATCTTATCCAGTCAGGCCTATAATGATCATTTGATAAAAACAGAATAGTCATGAGCCAAAAATTATGTATGTAGCAAAGCCAAATTATCAGAAATGTAGAAGACTTCTGTATAGGAACTGATGCAAATGATACAGAAATGAGGCATACTGCATGTACACCTGGATTTTTAAAAGATGTTGGAATAAATATAAATTGTGGTATTATACACAAATGATATTTTAACTTTTTTTTTTGGCTGTGCTAGGGATCAAACACAGGACCTTGCCCATGGTAAGCAAGCAAGTGTTCTACCACTGAGCTTCATTAAAAGTGATGACAAACTCTTAAGTTTCTGAATTACCGAAGTATTACAAAATGAATTTGCTTACCTAAAATATAAGAAACTGTGAAGTTAAATGCATTTTAAATGTATCATTATGTATAATGTAACATGTTTCTAATGTTAATAACTAAAACAACAGAAAAAATAAAGCAAAATGTTAAAAATCTTAGAGTTTCTTTTTATTGGTACCAGGAATTGAACTCACAACCTAATGCTTGCTGGGCAGGTACTATGCTGCTGAGCTATATCCCTGGCCAAGAGCTTCTTATATTAATACTGGGCATAAATATATTCAGGATGTAACATATATATAGCATCAATCTGCTATATTCTTTGATAATGGAAAATACCTTCTAAAATAAGCTATCTTACCAACTGAGAATTATTTATTCTGAAGGTGGTACTGGACATAAGGTGCATTTATTCTGCTAACCACAGTCAATGCTTTAGCAAGGACAATGAATATTGTATATGAAGACTTCAGATATTTTCTTTATTGATACCTCATATAAAACAGTACAATGATCAAAAACTAAAACAGAACCTGATCAATCATAAAGATAATGTATTAGAAAAAAATCTATCAGCAACATCAGTTTTTCGAAGCTGTAATTTGGCAAAGTCTTGTAAAATTATGGGCAGCTGCTCTTTAACCCTTGACAAGAGTGTTTCAGGGTTTTCAGCAGTTTTACTGCTCTCTAGCTAGACTCCAGGTTTGGATGCTAACGCCAAATTCTGAGGCATTCTCAGTCACTGGCTCACATTCTTCCCTTGGACCCATTCCATTTTCTTTCATTTACAGTCTATATATTTCTACAATTGAAAGGAAATGGTGGTCAGTATTGGTAAGGTTTAGTCTTAAGTTTCATTATTTTAAAGTAAGGCAGGGCATAGCAGAATAAAATTTTCTGGTGTTGACTATTTTTGTCAGTGATTCATTATGAATATAACAAGCCATTCTTAAAAAGACATGCATATATGAATAAAAAATAAATTCTGTACTATATTTGGTTATGAAGTGATTTCTGACCAACAATTTGTTAAAATTATTCTCAAAAAGGCTCAGCCTGAATATTCTTTCCAACTGCACAGATTAAAAACTAATGTACACCACATGTGTAGTGTGTGAGTTTGAGGCCAGTCTGGGCTACACAGTGAGGCCTTGTCTCCAAAAACAAAACAACAATAACAACAACAACAAAAAAGAAAAGAAAAACAACTATGTAAATTCTGTCTCTATATGTAAAATAGATGTTTTAAACTATGACTTTTACAAACTTTTATTTTAATACCCTGATAGAGAAAAAAGTGTTATTCTAATAGCCAGAAGAAATTATGCTACTGTAAGGGCAGTGAAAAGCTGTTTACTTAGTTCTTGGTTCTTGCTAAGTTAGAAAACTTACTCAAGACCATATAGCTAACCAGGATTTAAACTGAAGTAATTTTACTAAGAAAACTCAAGAGTTCTACTGTAATGTAACATAATAAATCTAATCAGCATAAAAATACAAAATTCAATGGCAAAAACGTGAGAATTTTTTCTTTTTTACTTTTAAGGGCTGATAGTGTAGCTCATGCCAGGCATGCAGAAGGCCCTAGGTTGCATTCTCAGCACTTAGAAAGAAAGAAAGAAAGAAAGAAAGAAAGAAAGAAAGAAAGGAAAAAATATATATATATATAGATAGATATAATTTCTAAACTAACTTTCATATTAAACAAATACTCCTTCCTCTGCTGGTAATTTGATTCTGGAGACTGCATAAATAGCTTCCTATCTCAAATTCCTAATGTTCAGTGATGCTAAGTAAACTTAAGACCAATTTCCATAGATTTTAGTATATAAGCAGGAATATTAATTCATAATATCTATAGGTAATTTGCAGAAGGCAAATATCATCTGCTCAATGGAGCTTAGTATGCTAACAGTAATTGAGATTAATTTTTTAAAAAGTACTTCCTTGTTCAATGTAACTTGGAAATAGTTTAAATTAGGTTAAATGTGACAGGATTAAAATCTGCTTTTATACTGTAACATCCTGCGGGTCAGGTCATGTTGATGACAACTGCTGAATCCTGTCTGAAGAAACAGATGTTACAGAAGAAATGAACAGACCAGGTAACTGGTGTTTGTTTCAGTTCAATTTGGAATTTTTTCTTGAGCACCTCCAATCTGATGAAATCCCAAGCTGTTCACAATACAGAACACAAAGAAAAGGACACATGCAAGCCTGACAGCAAAGTTGCTTAGTAGGTAAGGAAGGCCTTATTTAAATGTTTATTGTTACTCTTTAAAATTCAAAATCAAAACAAGTGGCCTGAACAAGATTTCTAGGAATTGGTCAAGCAGGCTGAAATATAGCACAGGAAGACTCAAGTCCACTCTATACATTCATACAGTACCTGGGAGCTGAATCTGTGAACATCGTCAGAGGCACTGACTAGATCAATGGAAGACATGGAGGAAGAGCGACTATAGGGCTACCAGAGACAGACAAAGAAAAAACCAAGTAATCAGAACAAAGGCACAACAGAGCATTCAGTACCAACTTCCAAACACAAGATTAAGAAAGAGAAAACAAAGCACTGTGAAACAAGCACAGCAGCAAGTGCTGACTTCATGCACCTATTATGTGTTATGTTCCCAAATCTTTCCAAAAAGAATGCAGTGCTTCCAATAATACAAATGATACCACTTAATCCCACAGAAGAGATTTAATATAACTGGCTACACTTCTGGCTAACTATTTAGACTAGCTACTCCCTACCACCCACTCTCCTTTTCCCTTAAATAAAAAAAGAAGGTTGTTACATTCAAAACAAGATTTCTAACTGTTAGAGAATGTATATGGAAGAAAAACATATCATACAAGAAATTTTACTACTTAAAATTCATGAAAAGGGAAGAAAATTTATTTATACTACAAGATAGGTCCCTCAACAGTGAGAATACAAAGTATACTTCTAGTAAACTCTAGTACTGGCTCACCTTCTGGACGAATCTATGAGTCCCCACAGAAGAAAAGGCATCTCCAGATGGTAACGATGTAGGCCAATGTAACCTGACCTTTTCACTCTGTGACTAAAAAATATGTAATGTTAGGATGGGATGGTTTTCAAGTTATTTTGCAGATTAAAATGGACACTATTTCCTGGAACTACTAACACATAATTAACTAGTAAATACTTCAGAGCTACTACTTGAATTATCAAACTACTCCACAGAATGATTCTGGTCAAATCTGACACTTCAGATACTAAAGCTCAGTCTCTTCTGACGCTATAGATATAGAGGATTAGATTAGGGATAAGTTCTTTGATTTTGTTCCCAGTCAGAACCTGCATTACCTGCATAGCATTATTTATCATGAGTCAATTTTATCACTGTTACCAATTTTTCTTCTATTCAAACTCAGGCCAAATTATTCCAACTATTGTGCTTTGCCAGGGGGCTGTCATTCTGGACCCCAAACTGATTAGTACCTACATCATTATTTGCTTTGTTATGTTCCTAACAACATGTCTTTGCCTCTTTTCCATGAAGGTACCTGGTTTTCATCCTATTACCTTACTCCTGTTAAATTCATCTGTGACCTTCTTTCTCCTCTTCAGCTTGCCTAACTTCTTACCTCAATACTCACTAAAACTAATGCACCAGAAATTGTACTGTTGTGTGTGCTCACTTATCTATACAGAAAATGTCTGGTAATTTCTTAACTAGAATATTTAAAATTTTTAATAAATGTGCTTTGTTCACAAAATGTGAAAAGATACAACAAACACAAACATACATTTTTAGGTACACTACCTCCTACCACTTGGCAACAATAGTAAAACCACAAGATCTATTCACAATCCTGAAGGACCCAACCATATCATTATCATTTGTTTTTTGAAATGAGAAATTACTTTGGAGAAATTAATATGAACATGACAAGAGGCTCCTTAATGTCTTTATATCCAAATGAAATAATTCTTAAGACTATCCACATAGTATCAGAAGGCCTTATTCATTTGTCATTACACATCTCATTTGGCACCAAGCCACAATGACTGTCAGTATTTCTTTTCTTTTCTTTTTTAATCTGCTAGGCTATTTTTTTTTTATTCAATATACATTTGCTACAACAATGGCCAAAGAATGGCTAAAGCTTAGATGAGTATAATGGCACATGCCTGTAATCTCAGCATTTTGGAGGACTGCAAGTGTGAACCTCGCCTGCACCATTTAGCAAGACATTGTCTCAAAATAAAAATACAAAAAAAAAAAAAAAAAAAAAAAAAAAAAAA